CCCCAAAACCCCAAAACCCCAAAACCCCAAAACCCCTTGAAGCTGGTTTATTTAAAATTTAATCAATAATTATAATATCTAACATAGCAAATTATTTAAAAGTACTTCCCATTCGTTAGAATAAATAATCCGACCTCTTTATCTCTCTCTGGCTATTCGAATTGTTTTTCTATAAAAGGTCTTTTGCAACAATTCTTCATCAAATAAGGTATAGTATTTTCTATCTTAATTGCAAGGCTCTAGTTTTTTCTCTCGTCAATATTCATTGATTATATTTCCTCACCTTCTTGAATAGACTGATTAATTGGCTCGAAGGCAGCTTTATCAGCCACTCTACAAAAGGCTTCAAGAAATTCGATGAATGTAGCGCTCAAATGTCTATCTTAATCAAGTTCATTTACTTATGTCATCATGGCTAAATTAAAAGCCACACTAGAGTCTCTTTAGCCAAATAAATCATTTACCAAAGGAACTGTCAAGACAAAGTTTTCAAACTCATCAACAGTCATAAACATTTTCTAGCCTGGCTTTCTATGTGTACCCCCAAAATTATTATAAATATGCATGAATACTGGCATGTACGCCTTAAGCAGGTTATCGCATTATTCATTCCACAAAAACTTTCTTCTCCATTACTGAGCTCTGATTATATGATCAGAAGTAGGATTTAAATTGTTATCAATCATCATTTATACAGCAGAAGCCTCATTTGGAGCTAACTAAGATTCAAAATATCTCTTAACAGCTAGTCTAATTAGAATTTCCATAAATTAGCATCTAACAAGAGCATTTGCAGGAATAAATGGACCTCGTTTGTTAGCGTTAACTGTTATGAAATATCTATCTGAATCTGCTTAATTCAAGCATTCACCATCAATAAGTTTTAGTTCTTCCTTAATAAATTCTGTATATTGATTCAAAGCTACAGAAAAAATATTTCCTATCATTCCAAATCCAGCTTAAATCTTGTATTATTCCTTAATCAGTTACTATATATTGTTGATATAATTATTTGTATCTTACATAACATTATTTCATAATAGATTTAACTTCTGCCTCAGAGGATTACTTGTATTTCAGTTACTTCATGTTTTACCAATCAAATTCGAAACAGTTTACCCACAAATCATCTTTATCTTCCTTCAGATAGTCTTTGAATAATGATACTTCCATTGTCCAAGGTGTCCTTGCTCTCACATGAGAAGTATTCATCAACTCTTTATCTGGTCTTGGAATACAATACTTTAATAGAACTTTGTAATCTGATGAAATAACAAGGTTTTGAGTTCTATTCTCCTCGTCTTTCGGCTTAGATTCTCTTTAAGTTTTTGAGATTTTTGGCAGCAGGTCAGCTTATAATTCATTAACAATCTAGTTATTTTAGGTATCGATGTAGTTAAGATACTCTAAGTCAAAATTGTATATGGTTGATTAGAATCTTGAAAACGTATTTGCTTATTTTAAGTCTTTCCTTAATTGATTACGATAGTAATCATCTATCTAGATTTTCTTTTCATTCATATTGATAAAAGGTCTGCCTTCGTATGAGAAGAAATAATATGATATACCCTATGGTACCATTCTATGCTACTAAAACTTTCCTTTCTATCCAAGTGAAGATTTCCTTTGATCATCAAGCAAGTCACCCTCCCAATGATCAAAGTCAAAATGAATAAATACATTGTAGTGATCTTCCTTTGTATTGTCAGATATCTATAATTCAGACAAAGTTGTGTGTTTCAAGTCTACTTTGAAATGATTTTCTAACCAGCCTTCACAAATCCAGCAGCAATTATCCTTGTTGAAGCTTATCTTTGTATTTTGTCCATAATTAGCCTTCTGCATTACTTGAACACTTTTGTTTTTTCTTCGCTAAGCCTAGAGGATATCCATTTTTTAATTCAGAATTTGATCTCTTGGAGATCTGTCGGACAATATAACATTTCTAAGGAAGCCTAAGCTATCTATCCTGCCTTCATTGCCTTAAAAGTGAATTCCATATAAGGTGTGATTTCCTCTTAAATAATCAGCAAATACTTAGACATCATTATAAGAGAATTTGTTAAATGATAAATCTAAATGCTAAAGTGTCTTATTTACTAATAATGCTTCGCCCCAAGCTTTTCCAATTTAAAACTAATTTTATCCACCAGAGCCACAACTATTCCAGCCTAAATCAAGAACTCTTAAATGATTATTCTACTTTATAGCGTTTGCTATGAAAATTCCACCTATTGACTTGATTTAATTCCAATTAAATTTCATTTCTTTAATATTTGTAGAGCTAACTTCAATAAGCTCAGAAATGAATTTACATCCTAAATCAGATATAAGATTCTCACTTAGAGATAAAACTCTAAGAGACTTATTGCTTGTAGTGATTAGTGCATCGCATATAATCTAGATATGAGCATCATTTAGTTTATTAGCATCAAGATTTAAGACTTGAAGGTGGAATTTTCTATCGGTCAATATAGAATTCAATTAATCAATGAAATCAATGTTTTAATTTGATTTTTGCTCTTTCTTACTTAACTAATTTCCAAGAGTATTATTGGATAGATCTAGTTCCTAAATTTTGTAGTTAATGCCTTTAAGAATCTTTAAACCTCCAGTAGGGCTTAATCTATTTTAGGCAAGATTAACCTTAGTTATTCCTTAACTTAGTTAAAGCCCTTTACCTATTGATTGAGCATACTTATTGCCTACTCTGAATGATTTTAGATTCATAACTTCATTGTTTCCCTTAAGGGAAACAATACCCATTGTTTGTGGAATCAATCTAAGATCCTCACATTATTTCAAATAGGCAAGAGGAGCTTATCTTTTATGTTTTCTTCTTTCTAGACTCTTATCTATACTCTTATACTTATCATAGAAGTTTTAAACAGCTGGAAATCCTACTCTATTGAAATTTGCCTCCTCATCACTTATTGTGTCTCCATCTGATTCTCTTGACATTAGTAAAGTCCTCTGAACATCTTCTAGAGTTTACTTTACATTCTTTTTCTCATATCTATCCTCATCTTAATGAAGCTAGTATACACTCTGTTAGATGGTGTCTTTGTCGATGTTCATTACATTATGCCTCTGTTTTTGTTAAAGATGAATAACTGGATTTTGTGATTAATATCGCTACTATTAAGTATTTCTACTATCAATTAAAGGTAACGCTTAAATTTTTCCCTTTGAATCTGGAAGTAAGCTATTATTGTAGTTACTCTTGCTTATATTACTCAAGTTAAAGTTGAATCTTGCTGTTTAATAGCATAGCTCTTAAGACATCACATTGAAGAAGTGCCTTGTATTAGTATAATTACTCATATGAAGTGTCTCTAAGTGCAATTTTTGCTCACTCCTAGGTTCCACTTTGAAACTTTAATCTGCTTTTAGACTGCTTCTCCTATTTCTTATTGTTTGCGTGTCATCATTTCCAAGAGCAGTAGGCCATTTTTGATAGATCGAGCTCAATTATATATCATTTAGTCTCTTAGTTTTTGTTTTGTCAAACATCTTAATTTACTCAAATAAAAATTATCCACATATCCTACATATTTCCTAATCTACACCAAACGGGGTTTTGGGGTTTTGGGGTTTTGGGGTTTTGGGGTTTTGGGG